CTTTAGTTGAAGTCCCAAAATGGATTTTGCGGTTCTTTTATTAGTTTTGGATACGAGCTGCAGTCGCTGGCTCTGCCTTTGGGGTTTGCAAGGGTTGCGCCAGCAGAATTGTATTCTTTAGTAACATAGTGCGAAAAGTTTGGTCTCCCACAAAAAAAAAAAGTTCCTTGCGATCCTTCTTTACATGCACGATCTTTGATTTCTGACGATGTAAGATCAAATTGAGCTGCAAGTGTGCTCCCTCTCTGCCTTTCATGCCGCTTCAATATCACGGCGTGAAAAAACAAAGAAGGCAAAGACTGAGGGAAATCTGAAGCGTTCTGCCACTCAACATTCCCCAATCCCAAACAACAGCGTCTCACTGCCACTACAAATACATTAGAAATCAATTATTTATGGAACAGAGTCAGGGCCTCTTTAATCTTTTCCTTTTATCCAATTAAATTGTCTAACCATTCTAAGCCTCTATAGCTCACAGGGAATGTGCCTCGTTTTTTTTTTTTTTTTTTAAGAAAAAAAAGAAAGAAAAGAAGAAAAGATTTTTCTCTTCAGTCCTTCTTTTGACTTTCGATGTAACAGAGAAGAGACACTTCTGAGGGTTGAAGAATGAAAGGAAAGAAAGTGAGTAAAGTGTAAATGAACTCCCCCCTCCCACCCCGTCACCATTGCATTGGTTCTACAGGAAGTATTTGAAGTTTTGATATCAAGACTCTGGTTCCATTCCCCGCGCAAAGGGACGCTGGGGAGCGGTGAGGCCTTTCATGATTCCTTTATGCCCAGCTGAAATAGTTCGAAAGTATTTGGGATCATCTCCACGGGGGTAAATACGATGTTGCTTCAATTTCTGTCCTGTATTATTCAAGAAGTCAATTGAAGTAGTGTCTAAAAATTGAAAATGCTTATTTCCATTGCACACGTGTGAAATTATTGATGTAAAACACAGCACTAGTCTCCATTATCGTACAGTAAGACTGCTGATAAAAGCAGTTAAAGATGCATTGAAAGGCTTTATATTTTTACAGCACCGTGCTCTGACTCTCAGGGTGTAGAAAAGATATCTGGATCTGAAATAGACCGTCAGTTTCTCTTATTTCAGTTTAAAATGTGTATGTGAAGATGTAGCCTGTCTCTCAGTGGTGAAGAATCCCTTCAAAAAGTTCCTGGATCCAGATCTGAATGGAATTACTTCTAATTTGCTCAAATTGGTAGAATTTTATAAATATGTCCACGGCTTTTTAAGTAACAAAACGGTCAAAAAAACCTTAGCATATAACCTCTTTGAAGAAGGTAAAAACTAGATCATCATTTCCATCTGCGATTTCCGTCGTGAGAGAACACGAGGAGCTGGAATCCAAAACACTTATTTCCTAACAATTAAAATCAGAGCTTAGGAGATGAGTCAGTCAATCAGTTGAATGGATCGACCATTATTATAGTAATCATGTCAATAATCCAGCAAGAAATCTCTGGTTTCAGCTGCTCTAGTGTGAACTGCTGCTTCTTTCCTTGTCTAACAGAGAAAAAAGGGAGCCAGCTGATTATGTGTGATAATAAACAGTTGTATACACAGTTGCATTAAAACGCTGCCTTTAGCTTGTTATTAAAATGTGAAATGTATAGGAATAGAAGGCGTACAGTAGTTTGAAAGAGGCTCAGATCTGCTGCTCTTTGTTCCACGCTGATGTGAAATCATGTGTGGGCTGCGCGCAGCGTGGCACGGCGTGTCTGTGGGCACGCGTACACTATATATGATACATGTGTCTGTGTTTGTATGTACTCGTCTACACGTGTGGCATGTCAGACGCAGAGGGATGTTTTGTTTTTTTTCTTCCTGTGTGTGTGTGTTGGTGTGAAACTGTGTACGCTGCACTCGCAGCCGTGCACAAATAGCTCCTGAGGGCCTTCGCAATCACAGACTGCCAAAAGGAAAAGGATTTCCGAGAGGTTTCCTTCTCGCTATTTAAAGTGGGAGCCCTGTGGGACATGTTTGGCATTCTCATCCACTCACTGAAGATGGCCTGTGATCTGAAGCCACTAACAGGCTCGGCGTGCTCCGTCTCTGTCTCTCGCTCCCTCTCTCTCCCTTTCTCTTTCCCTCTGGCTCTCTGAAGTGATTACCCTGCTTGTGATTCCACTGACACCCACATGTCCCCCCGAGACGTGCCTTCACTAGTTTGTTTAATCTGCCTCCCTGTACAGTAGGTAACACAGTCATAATTGAGGTGTGGATAGAGCTGTGGGAGCAGATGAAACCGGTGGCAGGCTTTATGAAAACCTGTCTGCGCTATAAGTCGCCCTGGATGACAGAAGTCGCTAAATTAATGTACAAAATGCTGCTGTGACAAGAATTTTTAGAAGGGAAATGTCAGTTTCCTCATTCAATGAATCCTGAGTCATCTAATACAAGAAACAAAAATATCTAATGTTCAGTGTTCTAATAATGATTTCAAAATGTTGCTGGAAAAGGGGAAAAAAAGTTGTGGATCCGCTCATTCTTTAAGCAACTTTCCCCCATTTGCAGTGATAAGATAATGAGTTATGTGACATTAGAATACCATTTGCAAGCCTCGCAGTCAAGCAGATATTTGATCTCAGCAACATATGACTTCCAAAAGTTGTGCTGATACCTGAGACAGAATCCGCTTTACACTCCGTTTGAATTTTTGATATGAAAACAGCAAGTGGAACTGTGAAAATGCGAGCATCAGATACTCTATCTCCCCCCGGTTAGTGTCTCGCCTCTGTGTAACACGCTCGAACCGCTCTGTTCAGAACATACAGAGTGTCAATCATCGCCCAAATCAGCCTTTAGATGAAGCAAAAAATGAAAAGGGAAGGAAAATGATCCACAGAACTGAACTTGAATTAATTAAATATACTGTATCAAGCTTGCTCTGTGAGATTGCATCTGTCCTCAGATGTGTAAAAAATAAAACATTCTCAGATATCTTTTTTTAAACCCTATTATTGTAAGATACCAGTAATTAAATTGACAGTGTTATTAATTGGGTTGAAGATAACTTGCATTGAGTCGAGGACATCTTAAACTCAATTAAAGATATCTCCAACTCAATTAAAGATATCCAAATGCCATGTCCCGCAATATGCAATCAGCCTCTTTCTGGAGCAATAATATCAGTTCACTTGTGCCCCTTTTACAAAGACTTCGTTGTACTTCTAAAGTTTTCTTTTATCATTTAATGCTCAACTTTTTAAACAGATGTCACTCTTTGGTGATGTGTATGCTTTCTTTAATGTGGCATAATTATATTATTTAATCCTTCCTTATCCAGTGTTTGAAATAGAAATGAAGATTAGACGCCCCTGATGTCAGGAAATGAAGCCTTTAAAGGGACAGCTTCCAGCTTTGTGGCACGAGGGAGCGCGAGGTGACGCGTGGACAAAAGCTCGGTCTACGGATCCTCGATTTAGATGTCAAAACGCTTTTAAGTTCAACGCTCAGTTGTAGTTTCTCAAGTTCTTGTTTTCCTTTTTTGGCTCTTTGCCGGCTGCTCTCGTTAGTAGAATTTACTTAACGCTCATATCAAATTACTATAAATTCAGTGGCTCAACTTTCCTCTTTGTTTACTGCACAGTGTTGCTGATAAATGTTGGAAAGCAGGTAAACGTTGTCACCTTTTGGTTCACCGACCAATTCGTTTTCTTAATTCTTCATGGATCCTTAGACTTATGTTGAGACTCCCATTGCCAGAGTCCTCAAAACTAACTATAAGGTGGGAATGAGGTGCGGCAGAAAAAAATGCCTTGGGTGGCATGCTTTCACACTGGTTAGCATTGTCGCCTTACAGCAGCAAGGTTCTGGGTTTTCTCAGCTTTCCAAAGGCATGCACGTTGAGCCAACTGTGATTCTAAAATGTCTGTAGGTGTTGATGCAACTGAGAATGATTGTTTGTGTCTCAGTGTTAGTCCTGGGATGTTCTCTTATTCATGCTCAGTGTCACCTGGGATGGGATCCAGCTCCCCCGCGATGTGAGGCGGGTATATACAAATCTTTATTTAAGCAGGGAGCCTCATTCAGATTAAAATCTCTTTTACAAGAGAGATCTAAGCAGAGCCTTCAGCAGAGGCTTTAGTCGCCTTTCTTTCAGCTGGCTTCAGGGGTCACTGCAGCCAATCATCACAGTTTCTTTTCTGTATGTCTGATTTTACACCAAATCCCCGTCCTGATCAGAACCATAACCATTTATCCGGGCTTAGGTCCGGCACTGGGATTGGCATGTGAACCCAACCGCTCACCCACCCCTTCGTGGCTGGGCTAATCAAAGAATCATAAAAGACACTGGTTTAACAACCTCTAGGATTTCTAAAGGGAGTGAAGGCTTCATGGCTGTTTAGAGTTCATTCTGTCTGAATGTCGTGTGATACCTGAAATCAAATCTGCCAAGGTTTCTCTACACATGGGGAATAGTTAAGGTTAAACTTTTATTGGTTCTTGAATTGCAGTTGCAGAATTAATTGGAAAAGAAAAATGGATGAATGGATGTCAGAGTTTAAAGCGCTGTCCCATGTTTCTCATCAAAGTGCACACCGAGAGTTTTAGCTGTGTTCTTTCTTTAATTATTTTCATGCACAGATTCCCACTCAAAGAACAAGAGCCATTGTTTGTACCGCTGGCTTCGTGATGCTTTTCTGCAGCTCTACATTGTCCTCTCTTTGTATCTGTTACCTTATATATACATGATCCTTATTTTCACATCTTTCTAAGAAACCTGTTAAGAGTGTTGCTTTCGGCGTGGCTGCGTTTTAGGCTGAAAGTAAGAGATTTGCTGCACTGTAGGATGCCGCTCACAAGGTCAAGCACCAATTGCAGTGAATGGAAGCAGTCACAGGTTTCAGCTCTCCATTACAACCACATTTTATGTTGTTTGCGCGTTATTCTTAGCCTTACTGATCACTGATGTTATTTACTTTAAGAAGTGAAAAATCTGTGGTTTTAGAGGGAATCTTTTCTCAGCTTCTCCTCCTCTTCCTCTCCCCAGGGCGCTGCGCCAGCTGTGGAGAGAACGTAGTGGGTGAAGGCACCGGCTGCACTGCCATGGACCAGGTCTTCCATGTCGACTGCTTCGTCTGCATGACTTGCAGCACCAAGCTGCGTGGAAAGCCCTTCTATGCTGTGGAGAAGAAGGCGTACTGTGAGCCTTGCTATATTGTAAGCAGCTTCCTTTCTTTTAAATCCACCTGCCTCAACACTTCACTTAGCCTCACTACATGCGTCCGCGTTTTAAAAGTGCACATTATATCATCGGGTATCGCTGTGCCTGGAATGTTTCATAGGTTTCACTTCAGGCAACCACATTTCATTTCATCAAAGCCCAGAGGGCTGCCACCTCTCACCACACACACATTTTCATTTCCTCTTCTTTATTGGCTTCGTTTTGTTTTTGGTCATTCAGTGAAACTCTCTTGTGTCTCTTTTCCTGAATGAACTTTCGTCCTGTTACACAACTAATGTCAGCTGGTTAGCAAACAAGTTTGTTCTTTGAGCTTGTTTTGACATTCTCAAACATCTTTGACTAATACATTTTATTAGTAGGCAGCTGGCCTCCAGCTGCGTGTAACTGCTGACCTACTTGCCCTCCAGCTTTAAGACTGTTTTTTTCTTACTATTGTTGTCTCTGTATCGTGTCAGTATAGGAATATGCAATCAAAGAAGCACCACCCACCTGCTTTTAATTAGTGGCAGCCAATCAGAAGAAAGCTTGCTTAAACATAGTAGGAAATGGGAGGTGTGCACTTTGGAGGCCCAGCTTTGATTAGTGAATCATGCAGAGCTCTAATAGAGTCCGAGAGTGAAAATAAGGAGCAGGAAGCGAGCAGAATGGACGCAGATTTGTGAACACGGAGGGTTTTTTTGTTTTGTTTTTTCTCTCGCTCCTGTCGACTTTCCTCTGGCAGCTGTTTAGCGTAAAACAGGGGTCCTCAATCCCAGTCCACGAGGGCCGGTGTCCCAGCAGGTTTTAGATGTGTCCTTGATCCATCACAGCTGATTTAAATGGATAAATTACCTTCTCAACATGTCTTGAAGTTCTCCAGAGGCCTGGTAATGAACTAATCATGTGATTCAGGTGTGTTGACCCAGGGTGAGATCTAAAACCTGCAGGGACACCGGCCCTCGCGGACTGGGATTGGGGACCCCTGGCGTAAAGCTTTAAAATGCTACACTATAGTTTCAACCCTGCATCATAAGACAGGGAGAACAACTTGGTGAACATATGATACGGGAATAAAAGTTTTCCCGTCCTCAAATATGCAAGAGTCCACTCGGGTCCAAATGACATACATTTCCTTATCGGATAATGCGTGCGAGGGCCTGTGTGGACGCCCACAGAGGCGCTACAATATAATGCAGCAGGAGTTCTTGCCTGTATGTGTTTATTGGATTATAATCCCTACCTTAGCTAGATTATCGCACAAGTTCAGTATGGTTTTTAAAGCTTGTTCTACTGTCCCCAGGTGGCCAAGTAAACAATTTCAGGACATTTGAAATATAGGTTTTAAATCATACGTATTGCACATGATAGCAGTGACGATAAAGTACAGCAAAACTCTCCTGTTGTTGTTGTTGTCTAGGTTTGGGCACAGAGGCTTGCACAGGGGGGTCTCAGTGGATCACACCTGTTCAGGAGCCTCCTAAAAATTCCATTGTCTTGTTCTGCTATTACTATAGGGGAGCGTGCTTGGTCTGCATTGTTTAGTCAGGTGCTACATGTCAAAGTGACATGCATGTGAATTCCAGGACACAAAGTTTCCCAGCAGAGCATTGTATTGTAACAAGAAGACCCAGGTTTCACTTTTAACTCTCAGTGGTTTTAATGCTGTGGCTGATTGGTGTGAATATGGCACAGCTTGATCCTTTGTAATAGACATGAGCAGGTGGTGCAAAACTTGTTGTGGCTTCTCATCTCTAGCTGATCTTCACCCAACACTGCCTGATAGATCCACCTGCCGTTTTTTTCTCCTGAAATAATCAGGTCAGATATGCATTCATGGCCTTTTTTAATCTATCTAATTTTTAATAGTTTGAAGAATGATGTTTGCCTTCACACATCACTCTTAAATGATGCATAACTGTCTACAGTGACGGCTGATGAACAGCCAGATATGGTTAAGTCAAGAAACATGGCGTTAATTCTCTTTGTGGATGACATAAGACTTCTGCTAAACGATTAGTAATCACTTTTCTTATCAAAGGAAGAAATGATTGGGGATAAATAAGCCAGATATTTGTGTGAGTTATTCTTAATTTGGAATGTTTTTATTCCATTTTATAAAACTGTGACTGGTTTTCTTGTCAGTATGTTGCACAACACGCATGAAAGTGTTTCCTTGCACAATATTATCAGGAAAGACGCGTCATCTGGCAAAACCATGAGGAATTTATTAAGCAGAAGTGTTTCCCTCATTCAGTTTCAGTAGAAAATGGTCATCGGTCCCACAGCGGGAAGGGACATGTTTCTTACTGTCAGCGATATTAGGTGTCAGTCGGCGGGTCATTCCTGGAAGCTGAGATGGGAAATAACTGCGCTGCAGCGAGGAAATACAAACTAAATTTAACTGCAATACTTTGAACTTTCTTTTGCTTTCTTTTAAAAAATAAGTGAGTCATATGAGGAGTACAGTTACTGTTATATTTCAAAATGAAAATTGAATACGATGTTATTAATACACGTATGATAACACAGTAAATATTCCAGCAGTACTACATTTATATTTACAGTCTCTCGTCTCTTTCGGTCGCTGCAGCCTGAGCTTGTCTGCATAATTAAAAGCTGGCTGAAATATGGTGACTACAGCTGAGATTGTTCTTTGGCTTCAGCGACTGCTTCAGGCTGAGTCACCTCTCGCCCTGTTGTTAAGTGAAGCACTAGACACGGGCAGACTGGTCGTGGTCCCAATCTTCATGTAATAACAGATTGTTTTGTCTACTCTTGCACCGGCTTCTCCGTTTCTTCCTGGTCTTTGAGCTCCCGCTGTTTCCCCTTTTAAACTGGACAACTGTGCCCTGTGCTTTGACTACAGGTGCTTTTACACAGGCCGAAGAAAGAAATGAAACCGGCGAGGAGTGAGTGACACCCATCCAGTTGTACAGATGTGTTTGCACATATATGTCGTTGTTGATAGAGCTCCTGATTCAAATGCGTTCAGGCAGTCCCTTTTCTTCTTGGAAAAAATTGCCCAGTGTCCAAACTGTAAGACATGCATTAAAGATGATTAAGATTTAGTTACTTCATGATAAGGATATTTTTTGTTAAGGTGGGTTAGAGGCGCTTTAAGGGACATTGAGGACAGAAGAGGTCTCTAAACAAAGTCTGGGAATGGTGATTATTGTTTGTTAGGGATATTAATTAGGTAATGCTGATTCTCCTGACAGCACATAGTGCCACATTTATTCAGTTTTCTTTTCATTCACTTGCAGGAAATGGCTCGATGTGCATTTTACCAGTAAAGTCTTGAAGCCGAGCTACATGATGTTTAAACCAGTGGCAGGCCATCTCTTAAATCATCTCTTTTCAGAGGCACTCAGTGTGATTGTAGTTGTCTTGTCTGGAAGTTCTCCAACTCTGATACATACGCTAAAGAGGAATGGGATAATTTAAGAACTTTATTTATGCATTTCATCAGCATAAATGTTCTTCTGGCACAAGATCAAAAGGATGGGGGAAATCTGAATTTCTTAATGAAAGTAATTTCTTCTTCTTTTATTCCCATCCTCAGGGTCATACGGCTCTGTGCGATTAGAGAATGAACGTGAGAGTTGAGTCTCTGAAGAGAAATGCAAAATCCCAGAGAGGAAAGAGGGAAACTTCAAGTTAGCCTCCAAGTCAGTCAGTCTAGGAATGTCTTAAGAGCAAACCAACATTAATGACACACTGAATTTATTTCTTCACACTTTCACCTGTCACATGATATTAGCAGCAGTTCTTCTCTATGCTGAAGGAGCACGTAAGCAGAGTATGGTTTCGTTTAGTGGATTGTTGTAATGGCCTAAATGCCTGATTCTCCTAAGAAGTTACCTTTTAGGAAGTCTACTGACTTACCTACTCGCCAACAGTCAGATGGGAGGACTGAAACTACCCTCATGTTTCTTCTCTAAAGGTTAAGGTGCACCCTGCTGGCATCATGGTCATTTTTGACTTTTGATTTCTTTGTTGTTGTTTTGTTTTGACAGGGTGAAATAATTGCAGAGCATACACCTTTAAAGCCTTTAAAACAAGGATCAGATGCTCAAGACTTCTCTATTTTTGTTCCCATTCAAAAATAATATAGATATTGGTGAAAATGTATAACTACACCTGCACTGATATTTGTTAAAATGTCTCTTGGCAAACTGCACCTCAACCAGATGCTTTTGGTAGCCATCAGCAAATATAACTGTGTGAATATTTGGTTGCTCTTCTTGGTTTCCTGGCACAGACTCTGTTTTAAAGCATAGTTTACACATTTTCAACAGGCTTGAGGTCGGGGGGGTTTTGGAAGCGCTTTTTCAGAAGCTTAGGATTAGCCTTTAAAATATTTTTTTAAACCCAAAACTTAACAGTGATCTGTCTCTATACCCCACACCCTCACTTAAAATACATAAATACATGATCAAAATAAAAACAGCAGACCTAGAGATTTCTTTTCTGTCTTGGAAGTGCAAGTAGTCCAGCACCAGAAGCACCAAAGGTAATTAAAAAAACGACACTTACAGTTGCTTAAAATGTGCATTCTTCCCCGAGTTCCCTTTAACTGTTTCACTTTTTGACTATACAGTCAATGCATGATAATAAAAACACTGTAAGTCATTTAAAAACTGAAAACAATTTATTGTTATTTCTTGAATTATTTCCATATGCTGTGTGCTCTTTGTGCGAAATAGGTTTTTCCTTCAGCCCGTGGCAGCGTATTATATTTGATGTAGAATATCTTACAGGTATAAAAGGTGCCCGAGGAAACTTGCTGTGTGTAGAATCTGTATAATAATATGCAAAACTCTATTAATCCCTTTGCCAGGAATTGGAGGAATACATTTCGCACGCTGATTGCCATCCAACAAAGTTTTCTGCCATGTATCAGAGCAGGCGATCAGCAGCGCTCTTATCTGAGCTGGGACTTTACATATTCTGTGTAACAATACTGGCATTTGAACGGCTGAGATCCATCTCTTCC